GTCGTTGTACTTTCTCGCTTGAAGTGAATCATTTCAACAGACTGGCGCATGCGCACCCCAAACGGCCCCTTGTTGCAAAGGACAAAACAAGACAGAGAGAAAAAAAAGGAAAATCTGAACTTGTCGTTTTTAGTTGAGTGGCTGACCTTAGATGACTTGTTCGCACTTCTAACCTGGTTATGTACACTCTGTTTCTCTAAGGACACACAACCCTCTCCCACGTGCATACTCCCGCACCAAACCCTYTCGCCTCGTTTGTCACAAATTGTATTGTTCTACATGTAGTTCACTAATTCAATATTCAGAAATATTTTTTGGCTAGTTTTACTTTAATTTCGATGTCTAATCAAATATAATCTAGTATGTTGCTTTTATTTTAGTGTCTTGCWTGAAGATGATCATTAAGCGCCTGTACGACTGTTGTAAGACTGGCCACAATTGCGAGGGTTTGGGTTGCTGTCAAGCTTTCTTGGGATGCTGCCAAAGAGAGATCTTCAGGGTTGATCATGTACAAAACGATTACAAAAGGATCGTATAAACACCAGTACTAGTTGCCTGCAGTTTAAAACGTTTAAAAGACAACTTGGTCAATCTGTCAGTCATGGACCTCTTACTTGAACTTCAACAAAGAATTTCAATTAGTAACTATTGTTCATTCATCCAACATGGCCGCCGGTTTTTTGAAGGCTTATGTGAATGGGAATGTTTGAGAACGAGCGATTACTGGACGGAATGTTGAAAAAATGGAATTTAATTTATAAAATACTTCTGGAAAAGTTTTTTTTCTGATTTCCTTGGATACTAAAGTTTGTTATTATCTGTTGTCACGCAATACTACCGGTGTGACTCACGTCTCAAAACAGCAGTAGTTTGCTATTTTCTTATGATTTAGATGTTAAAATAGTGCAATAAAGAAACAGTTTATGAAGTTTGTTTCGGGTTTGTATAACCGTCTCGAATTCTCCCAAACCTCGTTTTTGCATTAAATGCTATGTAAACACGGAAAAAGGTATCTATCTAAATGATGTCATATACTTCAACTACCAGACTGTTTTGTTCTCTTCGAAATTAGCTTAGATAACAGTTTACTCTTGTAATGCTGAGAGAGCAAAATATTTATTATTTCCATGGCAACGGTAAAAAATTTCTCCTCTGTGACTTCATCAATAAATTAGTATAAACAATGTGCAGTCTCCATGCCAACTGAAACAATTTGATTTTGAAAATTTTAAACATGCAATAAGAGAAAATATGCGAATTTTGGAATTATCATTTAGTCTCGATGTATTTTAAATTGAATTTTTTAGCGAAAGAAATCTTGGCAAATGTTGGAATTCCRCTTTGATGTTGTGCAATAATAGAAGATATAATCTTTATTTTGGAATATTTTCACTTATTTGCAAAAACCTTGTCATTGAGAAATACRACAATGTTCTTTAATAAAGCAAAGGCTCTTGAACTAAGTAGTTGCCAACAAATAGTCGCTATCAGTTTGTCTGATTTAAGTTTCGTTTGCTCTATCTTTATTTTATATGTATTCGCATGTCCATCGTGTGCTTCTAGTACGATGATTACGATCGACCCTGAGTATATAGACGTGTAATAACCTTTTCTCTATAAATCGTGGATAAATGGTGGTCCTAGCTCTGTCAATACATCAAAAAAAGAAGAAAAATATGAAAAAAGTAAGAAAGAAAGATAGAAAGAAAAAAAGAAAGCCAAAGACTAGAAAAAAGTTCGGCCATAGCGATGTTTATTTGTTTGTCTTGATTTTTCCCCCGTTAGATTCTTAATTTACTAAAGTACAAATGTTCTTAATTTTTTTAGTTTTTCCAGTTATACAAGAAACTCCGGTCCTCGTAATTCTATTTCGTATGTTTAGCTTGTGTGTTTTTTCAGATGGAAACGGTTTCTATCTGAAATTTCCAATTGGAACGCGAGTTAAGATTGACATTTCGTTATAACCCATGCTCATAAGCAAATATGTTATGTAAACAAATGACTCAAATTAAGATTGCTCTAATTTCATAAATAATGATTACCTGGGTTGATSAGACCTTATATATCATCCCTTCGCCTCGCTTTTGTTTTTTAAACCCTTCTAGCTCTTTTAGAATACATAAAATGGAAACAAAGCCTTTTCTTTGGAGATTTTTCAGATGTTTTTCAATTGTTTTTAAGCTCAAATTTGCTGCGATTTATGCGATAGCAATTTCATAAGAACTGTAATTTAAACAAAAGATGTACTTACAAATCTTAGGTAAACCCTGCAAACATTAAATAATAGCAATAGCAAGCCGAATATTAAAATGATGCTGGGATATTCCTCTGATTTTCTTAGATGAGAACTTTACCTGCATGATCCTCATAGTTTACAACAAAAAACATGGAAACGAGCAGGCCATCGCTCATAAGCACCATTTTTTTTTTCTTTTCCAAGCAGAAACAAACTGAAAAAAGCTTTTTTTAAATAGACACAATTCCACTGGTTTTCATAAAAAATTTCTAAAATAGTTAGGTTAATAATTAATGGAATCATAGCGTTTATATCAAATTCTCTTATATTAGGATTTTGGTGGCTTAGWGAAAAGTCTGCTCCAAAAAAAACAGTAAMTTSTTTTAATGAATATCATGTGTTACGAATTTTGGAATTCTGACAGCAGTTGTCTAGCATTGCCTGTCATTCCATTAAAGAAACCTGACACAGACAAAAGTAGTCGTAAACCTGTAATGCTTGTCGGATTCTGTTTCTATTGATAAWGAAGGTCAAGTTAAAAAAAATTTCGCTCCATGCAAAGTAAGATTCAATAAGAAATCGTATTATACGGAGCTAAAAGGCCAAGATGTCAATCATTTTAATTTGTTATGACGAACACTATCCCCCCTAAATCACAAAACACACAGCAACCGTTTTGTTTGGTAACCAAAGCAAAAAAACAGGCCGTGCAAAGCCACTGTAAATGCTCTAAATCCACACTCTGGCGACAAATGAAATATCAGATTAAGCTTAAAACTCCCAGAGAAAAAACTACGACCAAAAAGGACCTTCGAAATTGAAACAATGAAAATGGCAACACGCATGATATTTGTCTTGGCTGCTTTTCTAAACCTTTTCACATGCCAAGTCCAAGGTAAGTATTTGTGCTTGATGACGCAAACATTTCGAAAGCTTTTGCCTTTAGCTATTAAAAGCAGACGCTGAAAAGCAGAGTGAATTTGATAAGCTTCTTTTCGTTTTAAGCTCGATTATTGATGACATAAATTGCTTTCTATGTGAAGAAGACGTTGCATTTGTAACCGAAAAGTCTTGTTAATGTTGCATTAGCCAAGAGTTCTTATTGTGTTATCAAGACAACACAATACTTGAACGMCTATTCCACAGTGTTGTATCTCAGCTTATCTCCCTGTAGCAAATAAGACATAATGTAGCTAGCTAGTTGAGCTCAATCCTTCCATTAATTTGGATGGTTCGTCCATATCGAACAATGGAGGACTTTGGGGTAGATCAATCGTATTCTTAAAACTGATACAATCAACCAATCGAACCGCGACAGAATGCAATCAAGCAAGCAGCAGATTGGTTCAGAAATCTAGGCATCTTCTAAAAACAAAGCAAATTGGAAAAATATAGATTTTCCAGTTTTCGACTTTATTAAATTAAGGGAGCTTTCTTCTAAGTTCGAGTTCATTTTCGACTGCCGAGCTATTTAACATTATTAGTTTTCGTCATGCTAGATCTGCTAAAATTCAAGTTTTCGGCTTAACTGAAAGGCAACCGAAGCTTAGAMATACAATAGTTTTAATTTAGCGATGCGACATAGGCCGCGACATATCTACTCGACATTTATCATCTTCTCCTAAAGTAAATATCAATTGCTTGGCGTATTTTGAAGAAATTACATCTCTTCAAGCATATTCTTTATCCGACTTTTCATGTTTTTATTCTGCTAAATCAAATTGTTCCATTTTCCTTTTTTTGTTTAAGAAATGAAGATTTTAAAAGTAAATGTATTCTATTTTCTGTATTTATTCAAAAAGGCACGTTTTTACATCCGCTAGAAATGTCACTTGTGCATTTATCTGTTTACACTGGAACGACTCACAAGATAAAGTAGACAGCTATTGAATTATAGGCGAGCTAAGTTAGTCGTTAAAAATAGTGCATATATGTATATATATTCTCTTTTCTTTATACAGCCTTTTGCAAAAATTATGAGAATTGTCTAAATATCTAAATATCATAATATCCATATCCATATATTGTCCGGAACACGCGGGTTTGCTAGAATAATTCATTGTTGATATCGAGAAAATGATCAGAACTACGGATAAGTACGTCACCAAAAAAAAACTAAACAACAAAGACAAGGGACTAAGGGCATCGCGCGGGATCATGCACTTGATATTATGATATTTAGATATTTCAACAATTCTCATAATTTTTGCAAAAGGCTGTAGACACCGTTCCAATGCCATTTAATTATAACTATAGACCATCTATGTGCCACAGAGCAAGAGAGATAGCCAGTAATTACAGCAATGTTAGAAACGTTGAAAATAAATAAGATAGTGTATTCCAAGACCGAAATGCATTGTTGGCCGTTCTGTTTTCGTTCAAAAGCAGTTTTCGTGGTTTCAGATTGATTATATCAGCTCCACACTCTCCATAACTTCACTAGAAATATTAAGTTCGTACAGTAGCTAACGCGGAGTGTAATGTTAACAAAATATTGTGCATAGTCGTAGAATGCACTATGCAGTATCAGGCAAGCATACACAGGGATCCCAAAGATCACATAGATGTGAGGGATGGGTGGTCTAAACTAATGMTTGGCGAGTGGTGGTTTTGAAATAATGTTAGGGGTGTTTTAAACTAAGCAACAATACGCATAGTGCACGGACGCCAGATTTCGTTAGCAATTGGAGAGTAATTTTAGGCGTGTAATGTGGCATCACTCACTCACATTCCTGTTAATTTCCTTTTTTTTAATATTTCCTATTTGTATATTCAAAATGAAAACATTGAAATACTCCAGTTTCGAGATCTTAATTGTGCAGCCTTTAACCTCGAAAGCATGTAATATATTCTTTTATTCAGCGGAGATCCTATTGTAATTCAAACACTCTGTGTACAAAGAAGACAATGCAAGTTTAAGCTTGATTGAAGCTAAGCTTGCACAAAAGAGAATTCGAAACTGGAGTATTAGATCGTGCGTTTATAGAAAACGAAATTGAATTTTTAAAGAGAGTTCTTAGGTTTTACTCTCACTGTTACAAAGATGTTACACATTTTCCATACCCGTGTTT